ATAATAATAATAATAATAATCATAAAATCTATATAGAAAAATAAGTATTCACCTCTCTCTTTGAAACCCTTGCCCCAAAATCCTCTGCGCCAATCATCCCCTCTTCAATCCAGTGAGCGTGTGCCTCCTCGGCGACTGCGTGTCTCCGGCTAGCGGTCGCCTCTGACTGCTCGGCCCATCCCTGAAATCGCAACTCAGATGCTGCGAGCTTGTCTGCGACTTGCGATCTGCCCTCGGTCGCCGGCGAGCCTGCAATTGGTGGCGGAATTCTCGGTCGTCGCGCTGAGTCTCCGACTGGTCTGTGATGGGCAGTCTCCCCTCAGTTGCCAGTGTGTCTCGTTCGTTGGCGGATTGGCCTCGATCGGTTGCTTGGCTGCGATTGGGGCTTTCCGGTAGGTTTTGCTTTTCCGGTGGGACTTCCGGTCATTGGTCGTCGAAGGTCCACAGTGTTGTTGGGTGAAATGCGGTTTCCGTGGGTGAGTCGGGGCTCCGGCAGCTGCGGCTTTTTTTTGCGTCGGGGAGTCTGTGTCGACTCTATTGGTGTGTCGTAGTTGAGGGCCGAGCAGCCCTCTGTTTCGACTAGTGGTGTTAGACGGGCGGGGTTCTAGTGTTCCTTAGCTTAGCTAGTGGTGTTAGGCATGCTCGGGCAGTGCTAGAGTGGGTGCAGTTCGTTCCTCATGTTAAGGCGGATTGTTTCGGAGTTTAGTTTGTGTTTCGGGCTTGGCTTCTTGTATAGGTCTTGTGGCAGTTTCGGAAGCCATCCCGGGACTTGGACTATTCTTTGTTTCGACTGTTCTCCGCTGGTTGAGGCCGGAAGGGCTTGTGTGTGTTTTCCTTGTTTTGTGTTGTAGTAGGCTTGTGTTTTGGTTTGGGCGCGTTGCTTGTGTGTTCATGTCCTGTGTTTTTGGTTTGGGCATTTAGCCCTTGTGTACTCGAGTGTCAACTTATTATCCAGTTGAGATCAGACAACCGGGTATAATTCCGTTGGGATCTTTTAGTAGTTTTTGTTGTAGTTTTAGTTGTTGATTTGTGTGGTTGCGAGTTTGTTATTCTAGCTTTGCTAGATTAGGCTCTAGGAGATCCTTTGGATTTGCCTCAAAGTTTTATCATTTCTTGGTTGTACTATTCAGCCTTTGGCTGCTTTTCTTCGCACTTTGTGCGGTTTTATTTATACAATACCTCTATCATTTTGGGAAAAAAAAAGAAAAAATAGAATCTATATGAATAACAATAATTTGAATATGATTTTTGAAATATTATACTAAACTTATTAAATTTGATTTTGTAAGTAAATTATTAATTTAATTTTTTTTATTTTTTTTTGCATTATGTGACAACCTGGAACAAAAAATTTGAAACCAAGTTAATATTTTACTTCATAAAAATATTATTACATAACAAATTTTCATATGAGTAATGTCATTATTTATTTAATATGCTAAATATTTATTTCTGAGATGTGCATATTAAATGTGATTACATAATTAATTATGATAAAATTTTATAAATATTTTTTTTTTAAATTTTTAATTCCAATTCATAATTGAATGATTTTTTTTTTTAAAAAAAAATCCCG